TAAAGAAGAAGGATCTCATACCCTTTGGGACAGTATGGATGGACCTGGAGAATATTATGCTAAGTGAAATAAGCCAGGCAGAGAAAGACAAACATCACATGATCTCACTCATATGTGGAATCTAAAGAACTTAATAAACTGATGAACAGAATAGATTCAATGACATGGGAGCATGGATCAGACTGATGAATCTCAGAGGGATGGAGGACGGTGAGTGGGTGGAGGGGGAGAGATTAACCAAAGAATTCATACGCATATCTGCACAACCCAAGGACATGGACAATGGTGTGGAGAGGGACTGGGGAGGGGGGTGGGAAGGGGTGGAACGGGTCATTGGGGAGAAAAAGGGACATCTGTCATATTTTAAACAAAAATAAACACACACATACACACACACACAAAGAACCACAGAGAAACCTCAAACAGCATTCACTGGTTTTTACTATTAGCAATATTAGTATTATGATTTTAAAACACTTAGCATGCAGATTTTGGTCTCTAAATAGTATTTCCCATTAAAAGAAACCAGAGTTCCTTGGGAAAAGGCCAAATCCAAAGGTGGAGGGAAAAGGCAAAATTATCCTGGGGCATCTTATTGTATCAGAAACCCAAGGAAGTTATAAAAAAGACAAAAAACTACTGGGATCATATCAAAAGGACCCAGGAGACTATTTGAAGGGGCTCCCATTTGCCAGAGATGGAAAAATTTGAGCCCACAAAAGAACAGTGGCTCCAATGGATTAAAGCATTTCAAACACATAAGAATCCACGAGTTCATAACAATGCTTAAAAAAAAAATCCATTGCCCTGCCGGGCGTGGTTCAGTGGTTGAGTATTGGCCTAGGATCCAGGAGATTGCAGTTCAGTTCCCAGTCCGGGCACATGCCTGGGTTGTGGGCTCGATTCCTAGTCCAGGGCGTGCAGGAGGCAGCCGATCAATAACTCTCTCATCATTGATGTTTCTATCTCTCTCTCTCCTTCTCCCTTCCTCTTTCTGAAATCAATAAAGATACATATATATTTTGCCCAGCCAGGCGTGGCTCAGCAGTTGAGCATTGACCTAGGATCCAGGTGATTCCTGGGTCAGGGCACATGCCCGGTTGCGGGCTTGATCAATGACTCTCTCATCATTGATGTTTCTATCTCTCTCTCTCCCTCTCCTTTCCTCTCTCTGAAATCAATAAAGATATATTTTAAAAAAATAAAACCCTTAAAAAAAAAGATATATATATTTTTAAATTTATTGGTCAGCTTTGCAGGTTGCTAGGGCACCAATTCAGAAATTATTGTGAAAATTTTTCAAGAGAAAGGAGCAAACATTGATCCTTGGAGAAAATCAAACTGCCTTTTTTGATATAGGTAAACAAATAGTTGAAAGGGGAAATTCTTAGTATTCCAGCTAATATATATAGAAAGCACAACAAAAATTAGAAAAATCATCATTTTGTAACTTTTTTTTAAAGGATTTTTTTATTGATTTCAGAGAGAGGAAGGGAGGAAAGAAATAGAAATATCAATGATGAGAAAGTCAATGATTGGCTGCCTCCTGCATGCCCCCTCCTGGGGACTGAGCCTGAAACCTGGGCATGTGCCCTGACTGGGAATCGAATCAGGATCTCCTGGTTCATGGGTAGACACTGAACCACTGAGCCATACTGGCTGGGCATCCTTTTGTAACTTCTAAAGAAGTAATTGGTCTAGGTAATTATCATCAATGGATACTAAAACCATTAGGTGAAGGGTAAATGGTAAATATTACGATGTAGGGATCTTATTATCATTAAAAGTGGGACAAGTAGACAGAGGCCTCCTGATGTTCTACAGTGGGAAGTACGCAGCACCATTTATACAGTCTTGCCAACAACACAAAACAAAACACCCTCAATCTCATTAAGCCTCCAGATCTACCCACCAGTTTATAGGAAATATGGGGCACAGAGGAACAAGTTAAAAGACATCATTAGGAAGCAATCAGCCAAATACAGAAGATGGAAAACTCACAGGGCAAATTACTGGGTTTCTTCAAACAAATAAATGGTATAAAACAAAATGAAGAGGAGGGGGCTTGTTATACACTAGAGACAAAATTGACCAAATGCAATGTGTGGATCTTGTTTGGATTCTGAGAAAAACAAACCAATTTTAAAAAGCATTTTTGAGACAACAGGAGAAATCTGAATATGGACTGGGTATTAGGTATTAATTATTGTTAATTTTATTAGATGTTATAATAACTTGTGGTTGGTTATACGTGTGTGTAGAGGGGGTCCTTTCTATTAGAGATACATACTGAAGCATTTACTTGTGAAATTTTATGTTGGGCCTGGAATTTTAAACAATCCACTAAAAAAAAAAAAAAAAGGGGGCAGAGGGAGAAATGAAACAAGATTGGGGTTCTTTATACTATACTATCTACAAGTTTTACATTTCTATTAAAACTTTATTTTGCTTTATTTGTTTTAAGATTGAATGCTTCAGGACAGAATAGCTAATTTCAAGGAAGCCAGAATAAGGACATCATTTGAAATAAAGACCCTCTTTCTGCAGCCGGCATTTCCAAACTGAGTTAAACGCTTCAGGACAGAGGCGCCCCGCCTCCCGCACTCCCCCCAGCACCTCCGAGCCTCCCCCCAAGCCCCACATCTTCACCTGCCGCCGTGGACCAGGCAGGACTGGGGCTGGAAAGAGGCGGGCAGAGAGGCCTGGTCATCCTCGAAGGAGATGTGGTCCCCCAGGTAGTCGGGGCCCGAGAACAGCTGAATCTGGGGGCAGAGACGGAATAGATGAGAGTGAAGGAGGGCGACGGAGTGAGCCAGACTGAATGGGGAGGAGCGAGGGAGATTTGAAATGAGAGAAGAGGAGACCCACCGGCGTCTTACCTTTGAGACAAAGTGCAGACTGTGCTCTTCGACCTGAAGGGAGAGGCCAAAGTTTCAAGACTTAAGGAGGGGGCCGCTGGCCCCAGTTCCTCTCGGTACAGAATTCCCAGCCCCAGCCTAGGTCTCCTGAGTCTGAAATCTGCATTAGCTCCGCCCCTTCCCAGAGGCCCCGCCCCTCCCCAGCTCCCAGCCTCCCAGCCTCCAAGCCCCACCCTCCAGAGGCCCCGCTGTCCGCGGCCCGAGCGCACCTGCAGCACCGGCTGCAGTGAGGCGAGGGCGCTGTTGCCGGCGCCCCAGTCGTCGCAGTTGCGGTACACGCCCTTCTCCAGCACGTACTGTTCCCCGGAGAAGCCCGCCTCCTGGTAGGCCACCCACCTACAGAGAGGACCGGTGCGGATCAGTGGGGCGGAGCCGGCATCTCTGCGGGAACCGCCCCCGGCCCGCCCCGCTGTCACTCACACGCCGCTGAGCACGTGGATAGCCTGCGTGTGGGGGCCTTGTCCCGCCAGCGCCACGTCCGGCAATGCCTCGCTCACCTCTACGCAGCGCCCCTCGAAGTCCATGGCCTCAAACAGCACCACGGCCGGGTCCGAGAAGTCCTGGGCCCCAGGGACAGTCAGGTGTCTCCAGCCCACCCACTGAAAGCCCTGGGAGTTACCAGACCTCAGGGAGGCAGACCACCAAGGGACTTTGGGGTGAGGTGATAAGTGTGGCCTGGGGAAAAGCAGCAGGAGGGAGAGGCTAGACCTCAGGGAACACTCCAAGTGCTTTGGAGAACAGGGAGATGGAGCATAAATTCTTCCCTCAACAAATTGAAGGGGGCGAGGGCGGGGAGGGGGCTGCGGCCAGAGGCCAAGGATTGGCCCAATTGCTTACCGTCCGGATGACCCGCAGGGAGGTCAGCACCTCGTCATAGCCTCCCCAGTGTGACCAATCAGGGTATTCCCCCTCCTCCAGCAGATACTGGTGGCCCCGGAAACCTTCCTTCTCATAGCCCACCCAGCTGGGGGAGGGCAGAGGCAGACAGACCCAGTCACAGGAGGCCCCTGGATGTGTAGGACAGCTGCCCCCACCCCTAGGCAGCCCAGATCACTCCCCACCCCCAGGATAGAGGCCAGTGGGGAGAACAAGGTAAAAGGAAGAGTTCTGAGTCCTCACCAGCCTCCAAGAACTCGCAGGGACCCCACAGAAGCCAGGTGGGGGCTGTGGCTGTCCTCTGGCTGCTGAAGGTTGTAGATGTCTCTGCTCACTTCCCAGCTCTGGCCTTGAAAGCCTGGGGCCTCATACACCACAGCCTGGGGTAAAGGGGTGGTGGTGTTGATGGGAAGTGATCTGAACCCAAAAACACCCAGCCAGCCCAGGATGGCTCTGCCCAGCATCAGCCCATAGCTAAGCCCTCCCACTCCCTCACTGAGCTCCATGCCCTAACTCCCATCTCTTCTCTGACCTCTGACCTGGTTCTTACACACCAAAAGTCAGTTCCCAGTGAGTCCATTAGATTCCACCCTCCAAGACCCAGCTTCTGGCTTCCAGGACCCTCCTCTCCTGACTTGCAGTCCAGGCCACAATACCCATACACATACAACCCACCCAAAGGTCCTTTTTGACCCAGAAACCCAGACTCTTACCTTGGGCTCCCCTGGCTTCTCCACTCTTGGGCAGCCCTGCATAAAAGACAGAGCTGAGACACCAGCCCGGT